CCCCTACGGTCGGTAGCAAAGGGCATCTGCCACAAAGCAGGTGCTGAGATTCTTATTAAAAGACTAATAAAAGGGAAGCAACTTGCCTTGGTCATGTTTGCTTAACCTCTTCAAAAGCACTCTTGCTAAATTATTATACAATGTTAAAATGTTTACATAGAGAAGCACAAAATTGAGGTGTGAGCTTTCTTTAAGACACAAGAGAAGCCAGCTGGATTACCAAATTTTCCCAAACTGGTATGAAGGGATCAAGTCCTTTCTGGAACTCACAGACTTCCAAGATACTTGTTGGCATTTCCATCCTTAAATATTTTATCTTTACATAATTGTATACCTTGGAGTGATTGATCCCACATCTCTGCATGGATTATCTGTCCCTTTCTAATGGTTCTTCTGCCTCTCTCCCCTCTCTGGTGTTTAGCTATCCTGTTTTACTTAGCTGGTTATTGATGGTTCCCTCAAGCCTTTTGGAGGCCGGCATAGGATGGAGGAAGAGTAATGGACTCAAGTCGTGGAAAGTCCTGCAGAGAACCAGACCCACGTGCTGTGCACAGCCAGGACATGAGGCTGGGCCTCCCTGAGCCATGATTGCCCGCCATGGACAACATTGCTTCTGTCACCATATGAGGAATAGAGGAAAAATATATGCCAATTGTGCATCTTGTTATATTTTAGACTCTCAATAAATTTAGTCTCCTTTTCTCTTTCCCTCTCTCCCTTTTGAAAGTCGTCAGGACATAAATTATACATAAATAAATTACACGTTATCCTGGAAACACTCAGACATGATGAATGTAACCAATAATAATTTTAATATTAATAATAGGTTACTCTGACAGCAGCATCCTCGCTCTGACAATCAATCTGCAAATGCTGGCTTTGTCATCCTGTGACACAGATGCTCAAAGTTTACCCAGGAAGATGGGGATGTACAGGAGTTCTCATTCTTGGATTTCTGAAATGTTCCTCCTTCTCCACATCAGCAGACTTGGCTACAAGCCATTCCTTACCATGCAAAGTGTATGCAATGTGTCTGCCAAGAAATGGAAGACTGGGACAAGACAGGGGACACAGAAAGGCATCGAGCCATTACCCGCAACCAAAAGTAAGGTTTGGAAACACAAGGTATATACCAGAAATACTAATGTCCACTCAGTTCCCCAAAGAAAGAATGGAGCACCCCCCCCCGCCCGCAGGTATTTCCTCTACCAGGAGGAGCAAGAAGAAGCCAGGGGCTAAAAAGACCAGGCATAGCTAGAAGATTCCAAGCACAGATGCAGCCCAAATATCTGCTATGCTTTCTCACATCCTACTATCGAGACTGAATTTGGTCGTGGTAGGGGATTGCTTCAAAGAACCCTTCAAGCTCCCGAATCCCGTCAGTTTATTATTTGGTATCTCCTGAAGATTCAGACGGAGCAGCTGTGAATGTGGGTCTAGAGCCAGGCTGCCTAGATTGAGATCCCTGCCCTTCTACTTGCTGTGTTCCCCTGAGTCCTGTCAGTGACTTAACTTTTGGGTGCCTCAGTCCTCTCAGTGGGAAAATGAGAGTCCTAAGAAGGACATGATAAGGGGACATTTGTGAGGTGTGAGGCACAGCTCTGCAGGGCGACAGATGGAAATGCTGATCAGCTATTTCTGTGTCCATGATTAAGTGGAGTTGTTAGGGTTACCCCCGGCCCCCAAAGCACCGTGTACATAATCGGACCTCATCCTTCTTGGTTGAATTTAAATATTTATTCTTAAATTAATCTGGTTGGTTTCAGGTCAAACTCCAAATTTCATATCCAGAGCTCTCCCTACTGTGCCTGCATTGGGGAGCCATCTCGTCTACCTCCTCCTCCCGTGAAAGTGTTGCCTGGGTTCTCTTTCCACAGAGCCAGATGCAAGGACCTGCTATATATGGGCTGGGGCCCCTGAGCACACTGGGATCCAACTAGGGAAAGAAAGCAACGCTCCTTCATCTGTACATCCCAAGAGTAGCCGGTGCCTTTTCACTGACACAGCTTCCAGTGACTGGAGCTTTCCCAGTGGGGAAAGGAAGAGAGGAGCTCACACACAGGGTGTCCACGCAATGCCATCCATCCTACCAGGTTCCCACAAAGCCATTAATCTTATGCCAACCCTGGTGGCCCTCTAAATTAGATTAATTAATGCACCTCAGAGGGGTTTTGTTGACTCACTCCAGAGTAACAACTAGCGACAAAACTGAGTTCAGCAGATGTGCAGGGCCCAGGAGGTGACAGCCTGGCTACCCTCCCACGCCCTCCGCCTTGGCAGCCTGGCCGTGCAGCCACCAGAGGGTGCCCTTGCACTAGGCGCAAGGGAAAAGGATCAGCCCAGTTACCCCAGAGCTGGGGCCCGGGAACTTCCTCTTCTGATTTACAAAGGTACAGAGACAGGAGTGAGAAGAGAGGGCTGAGGGGCCCCTCAGAGGACCCTTAGCTCTGTAGCGGGCCTCCTTCTAGCCTTGTGGAACGGGGCCCAATCTGACTTCGAGCAGCGTTTACACAGCAGTGTCAGCCAAAATCAAAACGGGAGCCATCCGGTCAGCATGGGGAGGTATGCTGACCTTTTATTAAGTAAAGGACAACTCATGGCTCAGAAAAGAATAGACAATAGTAGGGTGATCACACAGAGTAAAGGTGACATTTGCTTCAAGGAGCTTTTGTTTTATCTTACATGTACATGTCTCAGCCATGCTGTGAAGGTTTACCTTACTGCGAGTAATTAAGTTTAAAGTAGACTAACCCAAAGTGCATATAAAACCCAGACACCCAGAACCTAGATCCGTGTCTCACTGGGGTCTTAATGCTTATATTTCTGATAGACCCTAGGCAACGAGTACGCACTGGGAACGGCCCAGTAGAGGAAGTGGACCCAGAGGTGAGGCTTCCTCTCCTGCTCCACCATCTCTCCTGACCTGGACAGCACAGGCCTTTTATTCAAAAATTTGGCCCAAACAGAGCAAGAAAAGTCATTCTGGACTCCCTCAGAGGAGGGCACAGGCAATCTGCTCCAAGAACGGGGTGAAGCGGGGGGCGTGTCTCCAGCACCAGGCAACTGAACTCTGCTTTCCTGCACTGGTTCTGCCAGAAAAACAAACCCAAAAAACAAAAATCACCTAAGAGTCAACCAGATCTGGGTTGGAATGCTGAGTCTTGCACCTGCCTATGTGACCATGGATGCAATCTCTCTGAACCTCTATTTCCTCACTTGTTATGATAGGACCATAGCATTTGCCAGGGCTGTTGGGAGAGAGAGTTAAGTGCAATCAGGCACCCAAATACCTGCATAATTCAGTGTTTACACATGTGTGTCCTGTTTATTCCACTTAAGAGTATGGCTTCAATGTGCGTCCATTTAGCTATAAATGTCTCTATTCTTATTCTTTATGGCTGAGTAGTACTCCATTTATTTTTTTAAAAAACCATATTGTGTAAATACCGAATAGTTTCCCTAGTGTGAGAAACTGAAAGGATCAAAATGTATAACAGATAATGTGGAGTGGGAAGAAAAGATCCAAAGGGTAAGGGGAAGTGGGAGGGATAGGGGAAAGGAATAAACATGAGAAAGGAAAAAATGGAAACAAAGTCGTTGTAAATAGGGAGGGGGAGGGGTTGAAGGGAGGGCAGGGGAATGGGGAAAAAATAAGAACAGAAATATATTATATGAAGGTACAAATTCCCAATATTAAATGTCAGCATATTGCATACTTAAAATGTAACAATAAAATGTATGAATGAAAAAAAGAGAAATAAATCAATAATGACTTTAAAAAAAAAAACCCGCATAATATGCACCTGCCCCAAATCAGGTGCTCTGTTATCCTAGCTCCTTCTCACGTGTTCATTAAATACCCCGTGAGCTTAGCCACTCTGTCCCCTTCGGCTCTGGTTTCCCGGGCCAGGAGGAAGCTTTTTGTGAAACTGAGTAGCCATCAGCCAGGGAGCAGAGCAGACGCAGGCCTCAGTGCCCTGAGCAACTCCCCCGGATAGGGGCACCAAATGAAGTCCCCTGGGAAGGGAGTGCCCATCACACCAGCCCAGGGAGTCCCGGGGAATCGCCGCCTACGGAGAGGCCCCCGCCCTCAGGTGTCCGGACCGTCCTGCCCCCTGCCCTGGGCGCCCAGCCCCA